TGTGAAGGCACTCAATCACTCACTTTTATTAACCTTGTGTTATGCGAAAGACATGACATTTTGTAAAGATCCCTTGCAATGATATAAAGGTTGTAAGTTCATGCCTTTTTGAAAGTGTCTTCGAAAAAAATTGTCTTTGATGCGATTTGAACTCCGTTATTCCGTTTCAAATCTAGAATTATTTTATTTTTTACCTAATTTGAAAAAACTGCCCTGCACTTTTACGACATGATTATTGCATTCCATAGATTCCTTTTCTTTATTATCTCTGAACTGACATGATTTCTTAAGACAGCGTACTGGCTTTCAGTAGCTTTCTTCTCCATATTTCTAAATTTAGAGATACCCTTCTCCGGAAGTACTGCTAATGAACAGAAGCGGCTACAGACATGATTGAAACTTAGTTATGCAGAGCCCGGTTGGTAGCAAGGAAACTGTTCGTCCTGCAAAGTATAGTTCGATACTCATTGGAAACCTCATATTTGAGGCCTTTCTCGTCAGAGCCTATCTTACACATCTACAAATCTACCATTTGCCCGTGCATTGTTGCTCCTGCTGCTTATCTTGAGGTTCTCGACAAAATCCATAGAAGGATCTGCAATGTAATCGGTCCTTACTTGGCATCTCGACTTCAGTCACATTCTTAATACACGTGATGTGGATTCCCTTTGCCTTTCCTTCAAATATTTTCATGGCAACTGAAAGTGCTATCTTCCTTGATGCTCGACTACATGAATTTAAGCGCACTACTCGATTGGCATCTAGGTCCCACCCTTTTACGTCCTGAGTATGACGATAAGCTACATCCGCATCCTGTGTAAGACGATAAACTACATCCAACAGTAAGGCCTCTGATCAGGAGATTTTGAGGAGCGTGGAACCACCTTTTAATTGCTGGTGCTCCCAGGTCCACTCTGACGCAGAGTGATAGCACCTGTTAGAGTCCAAGCTATGGACAAATAGTTAACCCCCAAACTGGGGTAAAAACACTATGAAAGTGTAAAAATATGTTTTAATACCAGAAATACTTTGTAAAAAATTATTACCAGCAAAAAATATTTGAAGAAAAAAAACTATTACCAGCAATATATTTTTGAAAAAAAATATTACCAGCAATATATTTTTGAAAAAAAATATTACCAGCAATATATTTTTGAAAAAAATTATTACCAGCAATACATTTTTGAAAAAAATATTACCAGAAATACATTTTTGAAAAAAATATTACCAGCAATCTTTTTTTGAAAAAATTATTACCAGCAATATATTTTTGAAGGAAAAAATTATTACCAGAAATAGGTTTTTGACAAAACAAAATATTACCAGCAATATAAATTTTGTCGGTATCAAATAACCCATTGAGGTTGATATGACGTAAACCAAACCAAACCAAACCCAACCCACCCTTTTACTGTTGAAATAGTTAAATGCAACTACCGCTACTACTCCAGACGTTTTTTTTCTCGCACTTTACGACAGTGGAAATCCCTTCCTCTTACTTGCTACCCTGATAACTACAATCTTCAAAAAAATTAAATACAATGTCAATCGCCTTGATCCCGTTGTTCTTTTATCCTTTCCTCAACCCCCTTTATACACATTATTTTCCCTCACTTTCACTCTCTGTAACCCCCTGCGTGCTAGTGGCACTCCCGCCTTACTTAAGGTGAAATACTTAAAGAAAAAATGTGCCCTATTGCCAAATAATATCGACACTTCGGTGTTCATGCTAAGTTCGTCTTGAAAATCGATTTTTACTGATTACTGAGTTTGTTTCTCACTAGGTGACCCCATAATTGTTTTTTTTTTATTGTAATTCTTAGGTCGGTGTGTCACCCTTCCCAACGATAACCAATAATGTCACCCCACGAATCTATCCTCGTCATCGGCCACCAATAGTGTAGCCCTATGCTACTTCAGACTACCATGTTTATCATCTGATTGACTCTTCTCTTGTCAGTGCTTTATTCAAAGGGTTTTTCATTGATTCTTATGACAAATGGTGTCAAGATGGCTAAACGTCTTATCTGAAAACCTGGAAAAAAAAAGGAACTAAATTTGTTTAGTAGTCTTTTAGATATTAAACATTTTGTGGAATGGACATTTGTGTTGTTACACGATTTGGACAATTTTACTGTTACACCCGGTATAGTGATTTTCCAAGCGTAGCTTCGATGTGGCACAAGGCCGAAAATATGGGACACCCAGTGAGGATTGAACTCACTACTCAGTAGTGATTGTTGTAACGAGACGAGCTTGCTAACCATTACATTGTCCCTGTTACACCATGTATTATGGTTACATACTTTATTCCAGTCTACTGTTAAAATATTGTATTTGCAGGCACAAAATTTATACATGTTTCCCTAGAAAACTACTTTCATCAATATTTGGTGAAACATACTCAAACATTTTTCTACAAAAGATCGTTGTAAAACAGGGAGCGATTTGATCGAGGGTGCGTGTTATGCGAAAGCAAATACGGTACATAATGCAATCTAATATATAGCGGCACTGAATGAGAGATCGGAGAGCCGAGTTCGAATTCCAGGCGAGTTTGTTGCATTCAGTTTCACACAATTACACTTGTAAAATGTATGAATTCATCTCTCCCCGGCGCGGCTATAGGTCAGACTAGGAAATCAACCTAGGAGAAGGATAATTCTGAATTCAAAACTATACTTGGCCCGAATGCTGCAATAGAGATACCTTAAGCGATATCTCTGTTAGGTATTGACCAATGTGTTTCATTAAAAAAACAAAAAACAGTTCTTTGGGCATAAACATTTCTTGAGAATCTTATTGAATTAAAAGTTATGTGATCCATTCTTCAAGAAAATAGGTTTCATTGGCCGTTTCTGTTTAACGTCTTATCAACCTCTATAGATTTTTTAATACCGAAATCTAAATATTTTTTACGCAATTTTATTTTTGGGGGGAGATAATAATATTTTTAGTGATACACGTCTTACTAATTAACCCATAGCTGGGGGATGAGGTAGACTCATACCTTTCCCAAGAGTATTTGCCCGTAAGTGAATATAACGAACCCAACTGGAATTGAAACTCGGCTCTTCGATTTTCAATTACAAGCCGCTATCCAATGCAAAACCCGCACAACTACGATTACAGCGCCTGGTATTCCCATCTAGGTGCTGACCAGGCTCGACCTTGCTTAACTTCAACGTGATGTGCCCGTAAGTCCAAGAAAATATAATTTTTACAAAAGTGTAAGAATAAATTGTTTTGCTGATTTAGATATCCCCGTAAATTCCCATGTTTCCTAGAGCAAGCGGTCATTTTCGTTTCCTCTCTCCCATTAGCAAATCTAGAAGGCGAGTTGGGGAACACAAAATTAATTCTTTTTTTTTTATTCGAATTCAGTCACACGCCCAACTGTCTCATTAATAAATTCACGAGCTCATAGAAGTTAGTCATTTCCAATTTATAGTCCTCTTGCTATCTTCTGCCTTTACAAATGTTAGATCAGACCAAAAATGGAGTACTGTTGTCATATTTGGACAGCAGCAGTCCTGTGGGACCGACTTCCAACAGGATGTGTCCCCGATCATACAATTTCAACCTTCTCAAGGCTAGGGTTAACCGTTATCTTCCACTTCTAAACGTACAAATGATCACCCAACGTAACCCTCTACCTCAAGTGACCGTCGAGCCTTGGAAAAGGTGAACCTTACTGTAAAAAGAAAGAAATCAACGTCTACAGTGTCTGATGTTAAAACCCATTGACGTTTTCGATAAAATAGATGTAAATCAATTGAAAACGACCATTAAAAAATGATTGACTAGAAAAGTTAAAATTATGAATATTTTTATCAATAAATACTCCGTTTCAGTTTTTAATTTTTCGATTTTTTTCTGTGCTAAATAAAAAAATATTTATCAGTAATATTTGAAAATTTCTCCTTTGTATCCCCTTCCATTTTGTCAGAGAATGGCTGCGTCTAAAGCCTTAAACCAGGACTTGTTTGTGGTTATCACACTTGAGTTTAACAAATTAGCGAAGCTCATGCAACCAAAAGGAGATTTTTCTTGTGAAAATAAATAAATTCAATATATTGATTTTTCGGTTGGCATTTAATTAAGAATTCACGCGCGGAAAAACACAGATTTTATAAAATTATAAACAGAAAATTGCCTGCAGTCAAGTTAGATATCTATAGCGTCATTGCCGAGGAGATGTAGATGCATAAGTGTTGGCAAATTATATTCAGTTAAAGAATAAAACATATATGATTATATATATATATATATATATATATATCGATAAAAAATGCAGTAGAACGAAAGAGTAAAATGCTTTGAATTTACAGAAATACGTACACACGCACACACACACACACACATATATATATATATATATATATATATATATATATATATATATATATATATATATATATATATACTAATAGAGAGCAATAAAAATGCAGTAAAACGAAGAGTAAAAATAGTTTGAATTTACAGAAATACGTACACACACACATACATACATATATATATATATATATATATATAGATATATTTATATATATATATATATATATATATATATACAAGAGATGCCAAAAATTTGGAACAACCTACATTTTCGATTCCACCAACGCAAAGCCAGCCAAAGAAAATGAAAGAAAGAAAAAGAAGCATCCAAAGAAATAAAGAAAAGAAATAAAGAAAATAACCAAAAGAAAAACCAACAAGAAAAGGAAACGGAATATAAAAGACCAAAACTCAAGACACTTACCTGCGCAATAAAAACGCAGTGCTGAATGTTTAAACGACCAAATCATAGCAAATACTTTGACAGTTGATACCGCCCCACCAAATAAAGACAAAATTCAGACAATTCGCAACTGGAGGAAAGGAACTGAACTGGCATTAAGGAACAGAAGTAGCGGAAAGGAACAGAACTGGCAGTAAAGAAAGAGAAATGGCATAAAGAAAGAGAACTGGCAGAAAGGGGCAGAACTAACGAAGAGGAACTAAACTAGGAGAAAGAAAGAGAACTGACGGAAATGAACTGAACAGGCGGAAAGGAACTGACCGAAAGGAACTGAACTGACGGAAATGAACTGAACAGGCGGAAAGGAACTGAACTGACCGAAAGGAACTGAACTGACGGAAATGAACTGAACAGGCGGAAAGGAACTGAACTGACCGAAAGGAACTGAACTGACGGAAATGAACTGAACAGGCGGAAAGGAACTGAACTGACCGAAAGGAACTGAACTGACGGAAATGAACTGAACAGGCGGAAAGGAACTGACCAAAAGGGAACTGAACTGACGGAAATGAACTGAACAGGCGGAAAGGAACTGAACTGACCGAAAGGAACTGAACTGACGGAAATGAACTGAACAGGCGGAAAGGAAACTGAACTGACCGAAAGGAACTGAACTGACGGAAATGAACTGAACAGGCGGAAAGGAACTGAACTGACCGAAAGGAACTGAACTGACGGAAATGAACTGAACAGGCGGAAAGGAACTGACCAAAAGGAACTGAACTGACGGAAATGAACTGAACAGGCGGAAAGGAACTGAACTGACCGAAAGGAACTGAACTGACGGAAATGAACTGAACAGGCGGAAAGGAACTGAACTGACCGAAAGGAACTGAACTGACGGAAATGAACTGAACAGGCGGAAAAGGAACTGAACTGACCGAAAGGAACTGAACTGACGGAAATGAACTGAACAGGCGGAAAGGAACTGAACGACCGAAAGGAACTGAACTGACGGAAATGAACTGAACAGGCGGAAAGGAACTGAACTGACCGAAAGGAACTGAACTGACGGAAATGAACTGAACAGGCGGAAAGGAACTGAACTGACCGAAAGGAACTGAACTGACGGAAATGAACTGAACAGGCGGAAAGGAACTGAGACGACCGAAAGGAACTGAACTGACGGAAATGAACTGAACAGGCGGAAAGGAACTGAACTGACCGAAAGGAACTGAACTGACGGAAATGAACTGAACAGGCGGAAAGGAACTGAACTGACCAAAAGGAACTGAACTGACGGAAATGAACTGAACAGGCGGAAAGGAACTGGAACTGACCGAAAGGAACTGAACTGACGGAAATGAACTGAACAGGCGGAAAGGAACTGAACTGACCGAAAGGAACTGAACTGACGGAAATGAACTGAACAGGCGGAAAGGAACTGAACTGACCGAAAGGAACTGAACTGACGGAAATGAACTGAACAGGCGGAAAGGAACTGAACTGACCGAAAGGAACTGAACTGACGGAAATGAACTGAACAGGCGGAAAGGAACTGAACTGACCGAAAGGAACTGAACTGACGGAAATGAACTGAACAGGCGGAAAGGAACTGAACTGACCGAAAGGAACTGAACTGACGGAAATGAACTGAACAGGCGGAAAGGAACTGAACTGACCGAAAGGAACTGAACTGACGGAAATGAACTGAACAGGCGGAAAGGAACTGAACTGACCGAAAGGAACTGAACTGACGGAAATGAACTGAACAGGCGGAAAGGAACTGAACTGACCGAAAGGAACTGAACTGACGGAAATGAACTGAACAGGCGGAAAGGAACTGAACTGACCGAAAGGAACTGAACTGACGGAAATGAACTGAACAGGCGGAAAGGAACTGAACTGACCGAAAGGAACTGAACTGACGGAAATGAACTGAACAGGCGGAAAGGAACTGAACTGACCGAAAGGAACTGAACTGACGGAAATGAACTGAACAGGCGGAAAGGAACTGAACTGACCGAAAGGAACTGAACTGACGGAAATGAACTGAACAGGCGGAAAGGAACTGAACTGACCGAAAGGAACTGAACTGACGGAAATGAACTGAACAGGCGGAAAGGAAACTGAACTGACCGAAAGGAACTGAACTGACGGAAATGAACTGAACAGGCGGAAAGGAACTGAACTGACCGAAAGGAACTGAACTGACGGAAATGAACTGAACAGGCGGAAAGGAACTGAACTGACCGAAAGGTACTGAACTGACGGAAATGAACTGAACAGGCGGAAAGGAACTGAACTGACCGAAAGGAACTGAACTAGCGCAAAGCAACAGAACTAACGGAAAGAAACTGAACTGACCGAAAGGAACTGAACTGACCGAAATGAACTGAACTGACGGAAATGATCTGAACCAGCTGAAAGGAACAGAACTGACGAAAAGAAACAGGACTAGAGGAAAAAGAAGAACAAAACAATGAACAACAGTTGACACCAATACCAGAGTAAAAGAAAATAAGCAAAGAAAAAAAAAACGTAAGCGGACCTATTCAGTCTGGACGTTCTTTTAGTCTAATAAAAAAGTATAATCAAATATACATATATGTTTTTTATCACTTTACACGTTAATTTTAGTGGATAATCGTATTTAAATAGACGCTCCATCTATTTATTAAACAGTATATTTATTTCCGTCTACCGACCTGAATGTTCGAAAAAAAAAATTATTAAAGAAAAATTTACGCTTTCTTTTTTTTAATAAGATTTCTCGAACATTCAGACCGATAGACGTAAATATATAAATACACTGCTTAATAAACGGGAAGTTTACTCAAATCTGAGTATCCGCTAAAAGTAACGTTTAAAGCGATAAAAAAGTGTGTCGGATGAAGAAAAAAAAACATTATTTTCTCTTTCTAGCTCTCTCACGCTTTCTCTCTCCACTTCTCTCTCCCCTTCTCTCTCTCTCTCTCTCTCTCTCTCTCTCTCTCAATTATTATTGTTACGTATAATTCTGAAGCAGGTGTATATAAAGTAGACGATATTCAGTCACCCCCCACAAGGGTGTCATGTGGCACAAGGCCTTATTAACGTGGGCATTCCCGAGCCATTAGGCTCGGCCAAAAAATAGCCCATTTGAACCCGTATAAACGGGTTCAGGGCCGGTTTTACCTCCCCGAAGGAGACTCCGCCCTTCGGCATAGCCTCCTTCGGGTTCCTCTCCGTCCGTAGACAGAGAGTTGAACCGAACAGTCGGTTCAGAGTTGAACGACTGACTATAAAGTATATAAAGTAGACTCTCACAACTGTTCATTACAATATATATATATTTATTTATATTTATATATATATATATATATGTGTGTGTTTGTGTGTGTGTGCGTGTGTGCGTGTGCAATACTTAGTTGAAAATGCTCAATACCAGTGATAGTGCTAACAAATATTTCCTCTCACCACCAAACATATTCAAGCACTAATAGGTATAAACAGTTCCATTTTATAAAATAAACCAGTTTCTATGATGATCGCAAAAGCGTGAAACCCATTGTCACAAACTCATATCCATACAACTGATATATATATATATATATATATATATATATATATATATATATATATATATATGAAGAAATATAGTTTTATGGTGTGCTATATTTATGGGATAAAGTGTTCAATATCAGAGATAGAGCGTGTGTAAATATAAAGTGAACATTGAAGTCAACACTCAGAGGCGACAGTCTGTTTCCTGCTAGACGCAATCGTCAGACGTCTAGCACGAAACACCCTGTCGCCTCTAAGTGTTGACTTCAATGTTCACTTATACATATATATATATATATATATATATATATAAAGAAACAACCTGCGCAATGTGTAGTGAACTAAAGATTTCTTGAACCGTAAAAATGAAAGTCAACATTGTAAGTTCTTTACAATATATATATATATATATATATATATATATATATATATAGAGAGAGAGAGAGAGAGAGAGAGAGAGAGTTAGTTCACTGATGACTTTATCTGTCAATTGCTAGAAAAAATAAAATGTTCTATACTAATTTTTGCAAAAAGAAGGATAAATCTAAGATTTAAAAGTTCTGTTTTTTCGTCAGTTGTATATATTTTCAGGTTGAGAAGCGTATGTCTTTTCTTAATTCAAAATTGTTTTTATATATATATATATATATATATATTCGCATGAAGAGAAAACAGTAAGAATAGTTTATATAGTCATTTCTTGACAATAAATCATTTCTTTAAAAATACAAAAAAATTAATTTTTTTTTTTACTCGTATTTCACTTTATTTCGACCGCTTTCCCTCAGATCGTAATTCTACGATCGACATGGATCGGAAATAAAAAACTGATCTTTGATGAGATTTCGATCCGAATCCCTCACCCCTTTTCAAATCTAGCCATGGAATTATTTTATTTTTTACCCAAGTTACATATTTTAAAGATACCCTGAACTTTCACAACATAGATGATTATGATTCTCTATAGATTCCTTTTCTTTATTATCTATAAACTGACATGATTTCTTAAGACAACGTTTCGGTAGTTTTCTTCTACACATTTCTAAATTTAGCGATAACCTTTTCCTGGTGTGGCAGCCATCTTTGTTTAGAGAGCCTAATCTTTTCTGCTTTTTAACCCAAAGATATGGGTAAAGATGGAAGAAATGAATTCATGCCTTTCTCACAGGTATTCACCCAAAGTGAACGCAGCAGTCTAGGGCGAGATTTGAATCCGTTTCACTGATTCCACTCCCCGCGCTGATAACCATTATAATACTCAAAATTTCTTAAAGTTTTGAAAATAAATAAATAAAGCTATTTCAAATATTTTTAAGAGATTTTGCTGGATAATTTATATATGGAGCCACTAATTACACCCCCTGAGGTGATTGATATATTTAAACCTCATTGAATTTCTATAAAAATCTATGGTTCATGTTTAAAAAGTATATTTCTTGATATTTATAGCGTATTTCCATCCAAACGTTTTTCTCATGTTAGAATTAATAATGAACTTTAGAAGATATTTAGCCCTATCTCAAGCAGGTTATTTTGTATTTGTGAAATGAAACGCTGGGGTGTCTAATATTTAAAATGCCCCAGAGCTTCAAAAATGTTTTAATTATTTATATTATCTACATACGGACTGTTGTCATATTTGTTGTTAATATCACAACGTTTCAGACGTTGCCCCCTCCAGCCTTCTTCAGGTACTGTTGATCCGATTAATCTTCAGGGAATTTTGAATGAAAACTTTATTTGATAGAGTGTTCTCGTTCTGGTGAACGTCACAATATGAAGGCCGGAGGGCAACAACAGCCAAAACGGTTTGATAATAGATGCCAGTCTACTAGAGATGCTAGCTAATTGGACAAGCGGAGCGGACCTTTTTGGAAGAAAGCGTGTTATCTAGCTTGATCAATAGCTTAAACAAGGCTAATACGTTCAAACACTCGGTCATGATGACTTGTGTCTTCGGGTTAGCACAACTGCCGACGGCTCCCAAGAACATGAAGAAGTCACATTCCTGACAAGTCGACCAAATTGACCATGGTGAGATTCGGGTCTCATGCTCAGAAAGCGAACGTTCTAAGTACCCGACCACGTGCCCACAAAGATGGGGACAATAAATAATATATAAATAATGTAAATAATGATAACTCACTATCCAAGAAATGTGTTGTTGGATTCAATTGTTTGGAATATTGCAGGATTATTTATTTTTTTTAATCTTTAATTTTGAAATTTTCATTGGGTCATCGAACTGGAGAGTTTTGACATGTAAATAAGCCACAAGTTTCAAATCAATAACTCAAATGCAAAAAACGTCCTTGACGATTAATTCCGTCCAGCAGCAAGTCCTCTGATCGGGAAATTTTAAGGGGCCTGGAAACACCTTTTAATTGTTGCTGTTCCCAGGTCTACCCTGACCCGGTGTCGTAGCACCTTTCAAGGTCCCAGCTATGGGGAAATGGTTAACCTCCAAACTAGGGTCATAACACTATGAAAGTATAAAAATAGATTATTATATCAAAAATATTACAAGCAATATATTTTGGAAAAAGAAAATTACCAGCAATACACTTGACTCTCATCACAAACCCTCTTTACAAAAATGCATCAATGAAAACTGATCTACAAACTGATTTCTTACAAAGAATCTCCTTTAATCTGCCGTGTCCCCTCAGGACGTAGGCGATTATGGCTCTCCACCTCACCTTATCCCTTGTAGTTCTCAATATGTTTTGTCCTTTTGTTACCCTGTTCTACCATCCACTTGCTTAAGCCCACTAACTATGTCATGCATTGCTTTCCCTTGTCTCTCTTTTGCTCTATCTGCCCTGTGAGTATCAGATTCTCGAAGCCCTCCTTTCTCATTACGTATCCAAGAAATTTCATCTGCCTTGTCCTGACGTTAAGTATAAGCCTTCTCCTTGTTTACATCCTCTCCAAAACCTAATCGTTGTTCACATGTTCGGTCCATGGTATCTTCAACATCCTTCTGTAGAAACATATCTATCTTGCCTTGAGTCTCTTCTTCATCTTTTAGGAGATCGCCCATCATTGGTTGCCGTAAAGGAGGACCAATATCACGTAACAGTTCAGTACTCTTTTTTTTCTTTGTTACCATCGAAATCCCCCTGTCTCGTATTACTGTAAATAGCTTTTGAAATGCGTCTTTGGCCATCCCAATACGCCTTCGGATCTCAGCGTCGCACATTCCGTCCTCTGTCAGAACACTGTACACGTATTTAATTCTCCGCACTTGGTTGGTTTTAGTGTCCGCGACCTGTAAATCGCATTTCAGGCTCATCTTTTTACTGATGACCATGATTTTTGTCATCTTGTAGTTTATGCTTAGTCCCTTCTTCTCGCTCTCCTTTGCTACTTTCTGTAGGATTTGTAATTCCCTTTCTGTGTCTGTTATCAGCACTATGTCATCTTCGTGTCTTATGTTGTTAAGATTCTGGCTGCCAATTATGAATCCACTTAGGATTTCCAGTTATCTCAGAATTGCCTCGCTGTATATACTGAATAATCCCGGTGAGAAGGCACATCATTGCCTTACACCTCTTTCTCTTTTTATATATCTGCTGAGCTTATTTTTTATCTGTATGCAAACCGTTTGCTGCCAGTATCTATTCTTGATTATTCTAATATCTTTCCCAAATATATCAAGGTTGCTAAACAGTTCCAACAGATCCTTGTGGCCTAATTTGTCAAAAGCCTTTACGTAGGCTATAAAACATAGGTGAACGTCCTTCTGCATTTGTATTGATCTTTCTGATAACATTCTGAGCATGAATATTGCCTTCTTTGTTCCGGTACTTTAACGAACCCGCACTGTTCTTATCCTATCTCTGGCCTGATTTTGCTACGCGTCCTATTCATCAGAATACGGATGATGAATTTTGTTACGTGGCTCAGGCTGATTGTTCGGTGAAGTTCACATTCGTTTGCTTCTGTTTTTTTAGGGAGTGCTATGAAAATAGATCTGCGGAGATCTTCTGGTATATCACCAGTGTCGTAGATTTCATTGATTATTTCTGTAATCTTGTCTATGCCAAAATCATTGAAAGTTCAATAGTTCTGTGTATTGCCGGTTGTTCTCTCTCGTCCTGGAAGAGTTCTCCAATATACCCGATCTAGTGTTGAAGATTTTTTTTCCATCTCTAATATAAATGTTCCATCCTTTTTAAGCAACCTGTTGACGAGCATGTCTTCTGTCCTGTTAGTTCCCTTATTTGTTTATGCATATCTCCTTTATTGATGTTACTCAATCTCTGTACTTCTGCACATTTTTTTTGGTTTAGGAACTCTTCTTTATCCTGTCTGTATTTGGTCCTTATTTCACGGTGTCATTTTCTGTATTTCGTTTCGTATCTTGACAGATTTTTCCGTCTCCTTTGCATCATGTCGAGAATCTCATCAGTCATCCATTCGTCCTTTCTCTTTTTCGTCCATTCTCCTTTGGGATGATATATTTTGCTGATGTCCCTAAAGCTTTCCTTAGTGCATCCCATTTCAAGTTTCCATTTTCATTGTGTCCCTCGTATCTTCTTTTCACATTGTCCATATATTTTCTTTCATGTTCAGGTTGCTCAGGAGTTTGTTGTATTGCAATTTGGGTGCTACGTTAGGCTTCTTCCGTTTCAGTAGTTCCACTCTTAGTTTACATATAACAAGGCGATAATCACTTCCACAATCAGCACTTGAGTAGGTTTTGCAGTGAACCATTGCATTCCTGAATCTTTTGTTGATACTTATGTAGTCAATTTGGTTTGTAGTTTCCCCTCTTGGGCCTCTCCATGTCCATAATTGTCTCGGATGTTCTTGGAACCATGTGTTGGCTATTAACTGCTCATTGGACGTGCAACATCTGATTCATTTTTCTCTACGTTTGTTGCGGGGACCTACTCCATTTTTTCCAGCTATTTCACCTGACCTCTCCCTGCCTACTTTGGCATTCAGGTCTCCCATAATAATTATGACTTCTTGTGATTTGCAATGAGCTATGGCGTTGTCTCGCATGGAGTAGAAAGATTCGATTTCTTCTTCCTTACTTTGTGCTGTCTGTGCATACACTATTATGATAGTTCAGTTGAAAGGCTTTCCTTTCAGATTGACAACCAGAAATCTTTCGGATCATTGGTAGTATCCCAGAACGCATTTCCTGAATTCTTGATCTAGTATCAATCCGACTCCTTTATCGTTTTTCTCTCCGCCTGCATAAATAATCCTGTGATTGTCACTGACAACATCTCCGTTGTTTAGCCATATAGTTTCACATACACCTAAGATTTTGATTTTTAGCCTACTCATCTCTTGTTATACATTATCGAACTTGCTACAGTTGTTCAACGTCCGAACGTCCCATGTCTCGAGAGTTATTCTTTGTTTAATTCGAGCAGTCGCTGAATAACGGTACGGTGACATCTGTCGCACATGCTGGCCCTTACCAGGCGAGGAGTTAATTCCCATAGATTAAACCCTTTCACGCCGTTAGCTTTCATAACCCCTGTGTTATTTGTCATGATATTTCTTAGGATTATTAGTGAAGTGGTTTGCTGTTGTTTTCTCCACAGTGATTTATATAGGCGCCACCTCTAGTTAGCTTTGTTAGGTCTTTGTTAGGTCTTATTTTTCGTTCTACTAGCTCGCTAACAAGCCGCCTCACTCACAAGAACTTGGGGTGGGGTAGACTGTTTAGTCGCCAACATTCGGACTGTGGAATAGAGTACCCCCAATATGTTTCCGGTTTGTTGCTCAGAGTTAGTAACGTGAGGAAATAAAATAAAATGATTAAGTTTTAAAGTTCCATTACCCACTATTAAAACAATACGCGATTATCGAAGAATTAAATTAAAGTATATATTTATATATGGGCAAATGCGGAAAATTTAAATTTACACATTAACAGGTCCGATGGGAAAAGGATTTCTTATTACTTACAAAGAATACATGTTCTATTCATACGAACCTATCCTAAAAATCTTGTCGGCATTAAATAACCCATTGAAAGATTGATATGCCGTAAAACAAAATAAATCAAACCAAACCATTCAAATGCAAAAGAAGCAGTATCTATTGAAAGTTGTGCGCCGATTAAAAAAGAAGATATAAATCTCCGATTGGGAAAGGGTTAAAATAGTTTTATAATGTTTGTTAAAATAGTTCGGGTTGTTTAATATCGTTTTTTTTTTTTTTTTCTCGTTTAATATCGGTTTTTCTCGCTTAAACAAACGAGATTTTAACAGGAGATGATAATGATTCTTGTTAATGGTGAAGAGGTTTTAAATTATTTTTAATGTCTTAGATTGTCGCGATAATTTTCTGTTCTTTTATCTTTGTTTGCTGAATCTTGCTCTTGCCGATCTAATGTTTTCGACTGACGCAATCAATTATTGACGCGAAATAAACTAATTAAAGAATGTGAAATTGATTCACCATTTTCAAACCTGAAGAGCTCGACGGCATTTTTGCCACTCGTTAATAAAAAGGAAGGAAATTGAGAATTTATTCAAAGATAACATTTATTCGACTGTTAAGAAAATGATTCATATTCTTTTTAGCTTGATTCACAATTAAGATAACAAAGAGGACGATGATGGAGTCGGCATATTATATTGTAGGGGACTTCACCACATTAATTTAACTTTGATAAGAAAATAGGACTTATACAAGAATAATAACAAGATATTGTTGCACATAAAATATATGTATATTAACAACGATGTAAAAGAAAACATGCATTTAAGTAAGAAATGCTGAATTAATCAAGAGTTGCCTCCCTTTGTTGCAATTTTCATGTCCAGTGAGAGATAAGTATTTGGTTTAAAGTTCACTGGATGAATGTTCATGAATGTTTCATGATATCATTGTTCTTGTGATATTACTGTTGGAAAGAACTGTCTAAGTGAGAAGGTTGGCGCGTGGTTAGAACTGGAGTTCCAACTGTCGTAGATTCGTTTAGAAGTTGAGGTCTCACTAAATGAGATGAGAAAAATCTTGGCTTAAATAAGTGACTATAGGTTCCGATTCGTTTCGCGCGAAAAATTATTCTCCACGTGCAAACGATCTGATTGGTTGGCATCAATCAATCAGCGAGCGAGCTTTGGGGAGACTTAAGGAAGCTTCTGTGAACCACTTCTTCCCAAGGTGCATAAATTTGACTACTTAAAAAATAAAACGATTCCAAAATTGTCGCATTACTGCGATTTGTAAATTGCCTGTAAAAAATGTATTAGTGATTTATTAGCCAATGATCGTTTGGCATTGTACATGTGATTTTGTGTTTGTGTGTATATGTTCGTGCGTAAGTAGGTTTGCACATCATAATGTATATATCATTTGGCGCTGTTTCTTACCCGCATACTAGTTTTTTTTCTTCATACACATACATATACACACACAGAATTACATACACACACACACACACACATTAACTGACGTGAGACAAGCAAAAACTTAATTAAAATATAAAGAAAAGTATGTATTTTTATTTTTTATATTTATTTAATTTGTTTACTTTGCCATTTATTTACCTTGAGAATGAATTCACTATAGGAAACACATTTTAAATAACCATATATATATATATATATATATATATATATATATATAAAGATTGACACTGGGGTCATCACCAAGCGGGGACAGTCTGTTTCATTTCAACTCAATCTTCAGGTCATGTGTGTTGCGTTTTAACTCGATTATTTATTTAAATCAGCCTCTAACTGCAGAGCGAAGAACGAATTGTCCCTTAACTGGTAATTACTTGCAAAACAATATTATATAAAAAGCGACTGTAAAATCAGCAGATAACAAAGACAAATATGCATATGCATAACTGAAGAACACTGCAAACAGAAATCACGCACACAAAGCATGCTTCATAAATATTAAATACGCGAACAGTAAACGTTGTTCTAAACTTCTATGGGAAGTTAAAAACAAAAATGGAAAATAGGGAAAACAGCATCAGCCTACAAAAATAAATCCAAAACTGTAAACGTTGTCTGGAGGAGAAAATAGCTATAACTACCTTCCCAGGCCAACACAAACTACTAAATAAACGATCAGAACTCGTCTCAAAATGCAGATACGGAAATCTTTTACTATGTTAGTTAAAAATCGAAAACCAGAAACGAATACCTTGGAAAATATCACCATGAAAAATGCAGATATATGCACTATATGCAACGCAGAGAATGTAACATACTTTAGACAAAGCCAATACTTAAAATTATACAATAACCAACTCCGGGAAAGGCAAAATAAACAAAAAGTCTAAATAATTAAATAAACAAATTAAGTAAACAAATTAACAAACTACGAATGAACGTATAGACACAATTAACCGTGATAATAAAAATAACAACAAATAATTAAGTAATCAATAAGAAATAATGAGCAAATACTAAACAAACAGCCGAATTCGAATCCCCAATTATTTTTACTCATTAGCCTCTAGAATAATTTGTAACATAACCGTTACTGCCCAGCCAATAACCGTTTGGATATTACAATAGACCTTAATACCCTTCAGTCATCAGTAACCAGCATATATAATGAGTCAAGCAATAACACAACACACATGGCCTGAAGATTGTGTTGAAGCATGAAACAAAGTGCCGTCCCTTGGTGTTGATATCAGTGTCCACTTTTAAATTTACATACCCTCCATTCTTAATAATGAGCACTTTTACCCATAAATAAATATAACATGCCATAAAACTATATTTTAATCACACACACACACACAAATACACGCACGCACGCATATATATATATATATATATATATATATATATATATATATTATACAGCAAAAAATAAAAAATTACATGTCGGTATAATCTATTTTGGGGATTTTTTGCTGTATAAAATATATGCGTTGTTATAATAAATACATTGGTTCTCTCTGTGGATCAGTTTTAATATGTGATATTACGAGGATCCACCTGGATTATATACCAATGGATCTATTACCTGTAGTATGTATATATATATATATATATATATATATATATATATATATATATATATATATATATATATATTGTTGTGTTGATAGGGCCAGAAATAAAGAGACAAGAGAGTAATTGAGTTAAACAAATATATTAACAAAAAAACAATAATACAAACATATACAAGCGAGAGTGTTACAGAAATAATGTTCGGTCCGACTGTCAGAGCTAAAAAAATTCCCTCTCCAAAAGGCAGTACCTACTCCTATTTATAGCTGGAAGAGTTCATGCGTACGTGGGTAAATTATCATGACAATAGTGAGTCGGTCGTTTACTTTTGAACCGACTGCTCGGTTGAACTCTTTTCCTACGGACGGGAGGAACCCGAAGGAGACTCCGCCGAAGGGCGGAGTCTCCTTCTGGGAGGTAACCCGCCCCTGAACCCGTATATACGGGTTCAATGGGCATATTTTTGGCCGAGCCCACAGGCTCGGAATGCCCACGTTAAAAAGGCCTTGTGCCACATGACACCCTCGTGGGGGGGATGACTCAATATCGTGTGTGTGTTCTTGTTTCATATATATTTTTTCTGTAAAATTCTGACGTGAGAAATGATGTGAGAAAATACGCAACTCAGAGTTGACATCCAATAAGTATTGAACTTATTGACAGAAATTCTCTTCGCGCTTAAATATAAAATTTTTACGCATATTGATAAGATTATTCCATTCTATTCCAGAATCTATCTTACATAATTATAAATTTACAATTCGTCCTTTTTGTTGAATATTGCTGCCACCTCTGGTCTGTTGTTCCTGCTATATATTCAGAGGTTCTTGATAAAATCCAAATAGGAATCTCCCATATTATTGGTCTTGGCCTAGCACCTCGCCTTCAGTCCCTTTCCCACCGCCATAATGTAACTTCCCTGTGACTTCCCTGTGCCTTTTCTGCAAATACTTTCATGGTAATTGTTCTGATGAACTTTCCTCTGTCGTACCTAGAATTTATGAATTTAAGCTCAGTACTAGACTGGCGGCAAAGACTCATCATATTACAATTGGAATGGCTAGATATAACCGTAAGTTCTATGTTAACAGTTTCTTCTCTCATACTTGCGAAACTATTCTTCCGGGTCTTGCTTCCCAGTCAACTTTGAACTTCAAAAATGCAAGGTCAATAATTATCTTCTTTATTCTTGTTCTTTTATTTCCTTTTCTCGTTAATAGTATATAATAATAGTATATTTTCTCATATTATCTAACGTTCTGTAACCCTTTGCGTCTTAGTAGCTTTATTGCCTTGTTGGGTGAAATGATTGAAAAAATATTACATGCATGTGTGTATTCATTTTGATCAGGTTACTGTAGGTTTGTTTGTTTGATTTTACCATACAACAACCCTTGTTGGGTTAGTAAACAGGAATTTTGTACATACAACCCCCCCACCCGCATCGCCAGTGAGGATTGAACATTCTACTCTTAGTTTTTATGCCCACAACCTTTCGGTCGTTGTACCTTCTGCCTTCTTCCGGTGTATATCTTCGTACTTCAGTATCTGTCTATATTTCTGAGATGAAATATACATGTACATTATTTACATTATTCGGACTATTGCCCTTATCTTTGTCCTCAAGGGCACATGGCACAGTGGATAAAGGCGTTAGTTAGATCCAGTGCTATGTCGGTGTTGTACAACACCGACATAGCCCGCCTGGGGTTTATTCTGTAACTATGCTGAGCGGCCCAAAGTTACAATTTTGTGGAGAGGCTGCATTATTTGGCGCGATCAACAGTCTGAACAATGCCAATACGCTCAGGACCTTCGGTCACCATGACTTGTTACTTCTTGCTAATGTAGGCCCCTCTTGCAACAGGGTCCCATCCTTGGTCACTGATACCACATAATGTAACACCTTTCGTAGCCGCTTACACCCACCGGAGTAAAAAGTTTAGTGGTCCGGTCCTCGTGGTCTTAGGATGATGCTTTAACCACGGGGCTAACTCTGCGATGGTCAATGCTGGTCCAGGCTGGTTGTTGGTCACTAGCCGCTTCGATCCACACCGTCTCTTCCCACGTTGTGTTCTTGTTCTCAGGGCATTAGATGATCGAATGACGTCGTAGTTTCGCAGCGCTGGCCAGTCCGTGGTAGATGCTATATAACGGAAAAAGATATCTTCACGACGATAAAATAAAGCGAGAGTTTTGTGGAGTTAATCCTCGATTGGTTTATATAGCTCTTGGTACAACAAAAAATAACCATTCCCGCGTCAATCTCTAGATTGACACTGGGCCTTGTCTAAACTTATGGAAGGCTGGGTTCAGAGTCTTGGAGTCAGGAATTCTGGTGGCAGCTGACGTGGATTCCAGAAGCACTCGATGCGGTTTCTCAGCCCCAAATCTTTGAACTCCACAAAGTCAGCTGCTTATATGCACTTCGGCTCTGACGTGGGGCCGAAGGATTCTGGGGGTTCGTTGATTATTTAATTTTCATTAATTCAAATAGGG